AGTGATCTACAGACTAACTCTCCATAGCCCAACAACACAAATAAGAGTATGATTGATATTGTGATCTAACAGTAGAGTGATGAAAGCAATTTGAAAAAGATTTCCCAAAAGATTAGATGTCTGTCAATAATATTGGAATTAATGATGTAACGAGTTCTGGAAAAATGACCTAGAAGTAGGTCTTACATCAAACCATAATAAGAAAATTTTGACAGAAGATTGACCTAACAACAGTAATTGAAAGATATAAATTTTTACACGGAAGTGCTACATAGAGTATAGATAAGAAGGTTATTCCTTAAACCAAAAGAAAGGATGAGCATAGCATCAAGGAGGTGTCGCTCGTATACTCTTTCGCGTGCTCGGAGCTCTATGACTTCAGCTCGAGTTTCAGCTAAGGCTTGCAGCAGAGCCTCATTGACTCTCGTAGGTCTTTCGTGAGCATATTCCAGGAGACGAATGCGGACCGTATTAACTCCCGCATTGGCATCAACCTCCATGACTCGGTTGATGGCTGTCCTACCATGCTCTTCATTTCGATCAACCCTGCGGACTAGAATAGGCAGGACACTATCTGCTGAGCCTCCATCGCTCAGGTTGTAGAAGCATCGGTCTCCATTGTATGGCATGGGTTGACCCTGTTCCTGACTCCATGTTCCCAATTGTTCCGCCTACAGAGGCGTCGGGCGTTGAAAAGCAGGACGAGGGTTAGGATTTGGGATTGGAGCTACCAGGGGTAGATCATTGACTTCTGGCTAGAAGTCCTAATCCTCCGGAAAGTTCTCTGCGAAGTTATCATCCAACGGAATTGCATGATTCTCTTCAGGCTCCTCATAGAGCCATCCTCCGTTGACTTGGTCCGGAAAGTACGGATCGTAGGGGATATGGAATCCAGCCATGTTATCTACGCGAGAATAGGGGTAACAGAAATAATTAATACACGTACTAATTAAGATAATTATAAGATGATCCTTACCAGTTACTCCAACATTTGCGTAGTGCATACCAGTCATATGTAACCAAAACAGGATAGACCTTCGAATAAGTGATCCTAACTCTAAGTCCACAACCAAACAAGGAACAGGAAGTAAAGCAAAGATCACAGATTCTAAGTCTATAACACCCTAGTCACATATAACCGTAGCGTATCCACACAGCAACTATTGACATAGTAATAAAGACCATTTTAGTTTGCACATAAGTAATTATAGTAACACAAAATACTACTATAGTATTTCAAGTTTATGTTCTGTTCTACTGTTTTCATTGTAGTAGTGTTGGTAAGTTTTTAGACTTGCTGCAACACCACAACCATTCCTAGGCACATGCTAATCACTTCTCGGAAAGATATAGTTGATCAGGCTATATCACTCCCAGATCTGATTATATGTCCCCAAGCCTACTTGTGCTGTCCAACAATCGCAATACTTTTTTTCTGTCCTAGTGACACTGATTTTAGTATGAATGCAGGTATGTATACTTTAGTTAAATATTTTATTATTTAAAAAGTATAAACTCTTGGTCAGAGTATTTTAATCCCGTTGTGTTGATAGTTGTATATCTTTTATGGGTTGATATACTCAATTCACTATAAACAAAGCTCTGATACCAATCTGTCGCACCCCCAAACCAGAACGGTAGAAACGTTCGGGGGCAGAGGACGTCATGTACAGTATCATATCAATGCGTAATAGTAAACAAGCAACGACATCATCCATTGCATTAATAATATAATTTAATACAAGTATGTTCTGTGTATTGTTTGATAGACACCAAAATATGAATAGAAATAAAAGACGAGTCTTGCATCTGCTCCGTCTTCTCAATACCCGGTCCGTCTTCTCAGTTGTTGTATATGTTTAATGAAAGTGTTTGTAAATGTTTGTTTGCAAATGTTTGTTTATAAATGTTTGTATCTCCTAGAAAATCCTATATTTTCTACTTTAACTGAAATGTAGTCTTCTACCAAGACACGACTGTTCTGTATGTTTGTTCCTTTGTAAAAGTGAGTGTTTTTCCCAAAGACAGCCAATCATTTACCAAAAGTATAGTTTACATTACCGTTTATGTGAGAGGATCACAATTTGAATGTAATGGGAACATACTAAAGATGTACTTGTAGTATTGTATATAGTAACTACCGTTGTACTAACTACCTTAAATCAATTGCTTAGTTAAGTAAAATGTGATATAGTTGTAACCATGCTTGATCGACTAGTTAAAACACGACGTTCGAAGACATCGAAATGGTATGACATTCGTCACCCGTAGACCTGCAGGTCCCACTGTAGCTAGCAGCAAGGTGTAGGATAGTCAGTCCAGTATAGATCTATACACAAATTCACGCTCTCCCTCCAGGAGACTCTGGTTACAAAACGTGACACAGCAGTATAATACCATGCCATGAAGTAGTGGCTCACATTAATGTTATAGTGTTCTTGTATTTATACAGTGTGTTCTCTTTGTTCTAGTGTATTGTATGTTCTCTTTGTATAGTTTAGTGTATGTTCTCTTTGTTTCTCATTATAGTATGTTCTCTTTGTTTCTCATTATAGTATGTTCTCTTTGTTTCTCATTATAGTATGTTCTCTTTGTTTCTGATTATAGTATGTTTGAACTGACTCATGTATGAACTTACTCTTGTATGTTTCATTGTACTAGAAATAGTGAGTAGTAATCCTCTAAACTATACCTATTATAGTTTACTAGTAATGTTGTTTGAGTGACTGTGTGTGTTTGTACACCCTTGCTACCCAAAGGTGTTGAACTGATGTAAGAACTTTTATATCTATACACATATACATAATATATAACTAAGATTCAAACGACAGTAGGACAAACAACCGGATACCCTAAGTCCACAACCAAACAAGGAAAAGGAAATAAAGTGAGTTATTAGTCCTAAGCCCTTTCAACCATACTTATATAACAATATATATATATATATATATATATATATATATATATATATATTATATATATATATATATATATATATATACATATATATATATATATATATATATATATATATATATATATATATATATAGAGAGAGAGAGAGAGAGACATGATTTTGACAATATATAAGTTTAAAAGAGTTTTAATAAAGAGTTTAGCATGTAAAAGAGTTTTGAACATAAAAAGGAATTTTAACTATTTGACTCGTTACAAATGACTTGATGTCAGTTTATAAAAGGTTTTGAAATCGTTTGTTTGATAACACAGTTTTGAAGTATAAGAAATCCACTTGTTGGTAGTTATTAATCACATGTGATTGATATAATAACTATAATGTTTCTACTTGTATCCCCCCCCATAAAAGCATTTAAAATCATTTAAAAGATAAGTTAAGGGGTATGAACTCACCTGTAGTTAGTGATATGAAGGTAAGTTCGATATAGGATGCTAAGTGTCAAGTGAAGCCTCGAGCACAAACGGATCCTATTAAGCATATAATGACACATATATGTATACAATTAGTGTATATACAACAAATCATGCAAGGAAACCACGTTAGGGACTAGGAAACACTTATATTGAAGTGTTACAATCACATATGATTGCATCAAAGGGGTCTAAGGCCACACAAGGGTGTATACGGCCAAGGTATGTACGGCCATTATGTGTACGGCCACATGGGTGTACGGTCATGGAGTGTACGGCCGTACACTCATGGAAGAAGTATGAAAAATGAGTGTTTAACGACCCTATCTAGCATCCATGAAGTGTTATGGATCCTATGTTGGGACATGAGGTGAGTTTGAGGCCAAAACGTGCACTAAACAAGGGTTTACGGCCATATGAGGAGTGTACGGCCGTACACCCTTGGTGTTCATGCATTAGATGATGATTCAAGGCTAGAAATCAATTGTTTCTCAAGCCTAACTAGAAGATAGAAGAGAAACTCACACTTTTGGAGGTTCTTAAGGAGTTCACGGCCCAAGAACTAGTAGGTGTTCTTGGTGTTCTTGGTGAAAGTGAAGAAAACTTGAAGATCTAACCAAAAGAGGAAATTTCATGGATGAAAACATAGATCTTCACTAGATAGAGCCTTGTATCAACTAATCAATGGAAGGAATACTTACATTTTGGAAGATCAAGGTGAAAAGCTTGATGGTAATTGAGAGAGAATTAGATTTCTTGGCTTGGAAGTGTGAGGAATGAAGAAAAGTGAAAGAATATCATACATAAGGGCTTGAGTTTACGGCCACCATCGGTGTACGTCCGTACACCCATGTGTACGGCCGTACACTCATCTTGAAGGAGTATTTGGCTCGAATGCAACACTTTAAACTTTAGTTAACTCACCCTAAACCCAAACCTTGAATGCACTAGGCTTAGAACACTCAAACAGAGCCTAAACAATGCTAAAAGATAGCAGAAATGAGTCTGACTTTGATTGAATTGAATGGCTGTACAAGATAGAAATTTCGGGTTGTCACAAATGTAAAGACTATTTAAGTGTCATCTACAAAATAAATTACGAAATGGCCGAGGATTTCCGAAGCTATATTTACTACTACCGTTACTCTCGCTACAAAAGAATCAGATTCGAAGAATATATATATATATATATATATATATATATATATATATATATATATATATATATATATATATATATATATGGGATAGTTCTTGTGAAAACACCAATTATTGTGAGAACATGAGGACATTTTACAACCATTAGATTAATTAAATAGATGGATAGGATAATTAGGTATTTTCCTATTTAATAAAAGGCAAAAAAAAGTGGAAAATACAAGGAATTAGCTGATCACGGGGTTTTGAGGGCATTTGGGTAAAAAACTAGGTTAAATAATTTAGGAAAAGGCTTCTATGTTCGTAATTTTCGCCGGTGAATCCGTCTTCCAAATCCGTGCGCATCATCCAATTTTTGTTGAAGATATTAGCCGATTTCAACATTGAATGTGATTCTGGTGAAGCTGATTCGGTAGTTGAATATAAAAAGAGTTGATTGCTCAACATATCACAGAATGAGGACTCTTCGATCAGAGTCAAAAATGAAGGGCAACAAGTTCAGCAACACCTTTGAAGAAGCCATTAACCTTGATGACGACGATTTCGTGAACATTCATTCAGGTTTTGCTCATTGATGTTCAAATACAACTTTAAATTAGTTTCTGTTTTGAATACGACGATTGTTTGCTTTGTGTATTTAAAAACAAATATAATATGCGTAAAATGGTTAGAAATGTAGAAAGATAATGTTTCTAGTTGGTTTCCTTGTTGAAGAAGACGATTCACGTATCCCAATTTTTGTTGTTGATTTTTTTAGGGTTTTGTTGAAGATGACAAGTATTATAATTGTGTGTTTGAAGTTTTGTGTCCTGTTGATAATGATATTATAATCGTAGTACAGTTAAGATTGTTGTTGTGGTTGAATCATGGAATCTAATTAGACGGATGACTAGTTTTTCAAGGTTTTTATATATTAAATAATAAATAGTCTAATTTTAAACCATTTTTCATTGTCATATGTTGTAGGAGGTTCTAGTGTCGTGATGCTTAGCAGGTGAAAACGAGATTTGAAAAAGGTACTTCTTCTGTGACTGATATTGTTTTAGCTTTGTATTTGTTTGACTGCGTGATGTTGTTTTGTTTTTTATGTGAATAATATTAAATGATTAGCCACATGTTTTCAATATTGAACACATTCTATAATATTTTAATAGAAAGTATATATTAGTACTAAAATGTTCTTAATTGAGTATACAGTTTGTGTAAAAATATGCAATGCTTGCACATGTGTTCTGTAGTGAAAACATTTGGATATTGATAACATTATTTTAGAATTTAATATATCATATATGTCTTAGATTAAATATTCTGAACTGAAGTTTTATTATCAGTGTTATGGTTTGTGTTATTGTTTATTGTTTCAAAATAAAAGTACTTTAAAAAAAAATAAGCATTGTGTATGAAATTATTCAAAACAGAATTCATCGTGTACTTAATAGTTTAATTTAGTATTCAATAAAGATTACATTACATATGTAATGCTTCAATACATAATGCACAGTATGTGCGACAGTGTGCAATGCTTCCACATGTATTCAGTAATGAAAACATTTGGATTTTGAATACATTATGTAAGAATTCAATACATCATATATTTCTTATATTAATTATTCTTAACTGAAGTTGTATTATTAGTGTTATGGTTTTTGTTATTTTGTAGTATTTCAAAGTAAAAGTATTTTTAAAAAAATAAAAATAAGGATTATTTATTGAATTATTAATATTAGAATTAATTGTGTACTTAATAGTTTATTTTAGTATTCAACACAGATTAAATTACTTATGTAATGCTTCAATACAGAATGCACAGTATGTGCGACAGTGTGCAATGCTTCTACATGGATTCAATAATGAAATGATTTAGATGTTGAATACGTTATGTAATAATTCAGTACATGTTTTTTTTATATGTTTTGGAAAAAAATAGGCTGCAATGAAAACATATACAAAACAAATATGCATTCTTTATTATCACAATCGTGCATTCAATCTTCATATGAGTAGCATTATTTGATTAACACATTATGTGTTTTAGTATGTAATATTTTGTTATGTTTAAGATTCGAGTTAGTATTCAATAAAGAACATATTAGGTAATCATTCAATACATCATATATTACTTATAGTAAATATTCTGACTTGAAAACATATAAAAACAAATATGCATGATTCTTATTTGTGTAGTGTTATCCCTAAGCATGAATTGAATCTTGACATGACTAACAGTATTTGATGAAAGTATGTAATATTTCATAAAATCAATTTTCAGTTTGATGTAGTAGTCAATACATAATACATTATGTATTTTATGCCTCGTTACATATTACAGAATACATAATACATTATTATGTAGTAGTCAGTTTGATGTAGTAGTCAATGCATAATACATTAGTATTCAAGGCATAAAACATTTGCAAATATTATGCGTGATTCTTATTGGTGTAGTATTATAGTGATCATGCGTATATTATTTTGTGTTTGTTGTAGGCGAATCAAGTGTTAGTGTAAGTAAGAAAAAGAAAAGGAAAGATGAACATTATGAAGATAGTGAAGCTGATGTTGATGTTAATGTAAGAAGAAGTGGTAGGAAAAAAACTAAAGTCTTAAAAATTGAAGTTTCAAAGGAAGATGATAAGAAGAAAGGAATGAAGAAAAGAAAAACGAAAAGAAAGAATGTTGTAGAAAATGAAGATGCAGATGTTGAGGACGACAAAACTCAGGACTTGGAAAAAATAAGTTGTCGTATGTCCCCAAAATCAATGTATATGGCGGTGAAGGGAATGTCATACAGCCAAAAAAGAAATGGTGAGACGAATGGGTTTCGGTGCATTCCTTGATATAAAGTTAGATTCAATACCTTCTAGATTGGCTTACTACCAGGTGGACAAATTTAGAGCAAAAACATCCACGATTAAGACTAAGAAAGGGGAAATACTTATTACAAAGAAAACGGTTGAAAAGATGTTTGGTTTGCCAAGTGAAGGTTTAGACTACAACCAGTTGGTGGAATGCGATAAAACAGATATAGTTATTGAAGCATGGAAAAGTCAATATCCAGGAGGAAAGTTCAATAATGGAAACTATGTGAAGAGGATTAGACAATCGGATGTGGCGGATGACATGTTCAAGCTTAATTTCTTGACATTATTCATAAACACGTTTGCAGAGACAGAAATGAGTGGGGCAAGCCGTATTAATTGTCTGGAGAAATTAGCAAGGTGTGAAGATATTCAAAAAATTGATTGGTGCAAGTATATAGTGGAATGTTTGGAGAAGGCAAAATACAAATGGAGGCCAAATGACGCAAACTGTTATTACATAGGTCCAGTTACGCCGTTACTGGTAAGTATTTGTAAGTATGTGCATTTATTTTTGTTGTATTTTTTTATTCTGTAATGAAAATAATATAAGATAACTTATTAATTCTGATGTTACAGCTTGCGTATGCGGACAAAGTAGTTTTGAATGGCTATAATCTCCGCAGATCAAGGCCATTGATAAATCAGATTGACTCAGTGGATTTGGAAATGTTGGAGGAGCATGGATTGAGAAATGGAGAATTTGGATCCTTGGAGTTTCGTGCAGATGGGGAAGTGGATCCTATTGATGTAAATGGTGATGAGGATAAGGTGGTAAGTTATTTTAATAATTATGTCATATTTTCTGTAAAAAATAATATTATACATAAGAAGATATTGTAACTCGTTTTTATTACAATGACAGGTAGATGTGGAATCAATTGAAAAGCTATATAGTAGGATCTGTGATGATAAGGAAAAAATTGAGGAAGCAATTAACAAGGGGTTAGAAGAGGATGCAAATGATGATGTGGTAAAAGAGTGGTTACGAAAGGTGCGAAAACTTTTTAATGAAAAGAATGTGGAACATGTAGATAATATCTCTCCCCCCAAATGAAGTGACAATGAAAACGCCCGTTAAAGTTGCAGTCAATCCTGGGCAAAGTAATTTTGTGAAAGGAAGTAGTTTTGTGAAAGGAAATAGTCCCATATGCAATGTTCAATCTACTGGAAGGAATAATGAGAAGACAAAGATTGTGGATGGGTGCGACTCACCTTCCGTGCTCTTTCTGGAATATAAAGGAAATACATCATTGGATAGTCCAGTTGTTCTGACTCCTGGTTTTTTGAATATGTCTGATGAGATTGTGGAACGGAGCATGAGAAAGAACAAGGATTTTTGCAAAGATGACATACCATCGTTCGATTTGAGAATAACACAATCGAATGAGGAAGATAAGAGTATGGATGTTAAAGGAGGAAGCAAGCCAGTAATTAGATATACAAAAAAATCTGTAGCGGAAGACAAACTGAAAAAAAGAACTGGAAAAGATATTATGGAAAGAGAAATGGTGCATGTTGATAAGTTGAAAAATGGGAAAGGTAAAAGGAAGGGGAAACTTGGACAATTGGTGTGTTCACCATATGTAGATCGGATAACAGATGTGGATGAGGCGGTTAAAGATGATGAAAACGTTGTGGCTCAAAGCATAATAGCTTGGGGGAAAGATAAAGGGTAAGAATGTACATTTTATGCGACTCAATTAAAATGGATTTTTTTTTTGTCGTGGCATTTTTATTGTATTATGTTTAAATGGCAGGGAATTTATATGGGAAACTGTTGATGGTCATGGAATGCATTTGGAAGCTGCACGTACGTTAGCTATGAGAAAAAAAGTGCATACCAATGTAATAGACGCGTGGGCTGCTTTCCTTAATAAAATTGAAGAACTGAAGTCTGAGGCTTCTTACTCTAGGATGTACTTCACATGCGATACGATTGTAAGTTTTTATGAATAAGATGTGTGTTGTATGTCATATTCCGCAATGAATTGTAATATGGTCGATATTTTGTTATGATAAAACAAACATATTACATGGTTGATGAAGCTGTAGATGAGGAGCTAAGGTACAATAAATTCATAATTATGTTTGTAGGTGTGATGAATGACCTAACGGACAAACCAGATTTGAAAACGGTGGACTTGGTATGGAATTGTTAATTTTTACAGTTTTTAGACATGATTGGTATCACACATGTATGTGGAACTGATGTTGATATTGTTTAAATGTAGGTTTTCATACCAATTGTTGTTGATGAAAGTTACTACCTAGTGTGTTTTTGTTTGAAAAGGGTTGCATTTTATATATTTGATCACATCAAGAGGTCTGGGACAATCGAGTCTGCATATGGGAATAGACCACGTATCCTGCTTAGATCTGTTGTTTACTTAATGAATTCGTATATAGATCGTGAGTATTGTTGTTATATAATTATTATAATATGAATTATTATTTAATTTGACATGCAGAAAAGCTTCTTTTGTCGTTATCTGAATAGTGTTGAACACAAAAAAGCAAATGTGTTACTTAAAAAAGAAGTTGTGGTTATAAAAATGAAGTGTCAAAGGAATATAGTTGGTGTTGACTGTGGAATTTTCCTTATGCGACACATGGAAACATACATGGGAGAAGCGGCACATAAATGGGATTGCGGTCTATGTGTTGATAATAAAATTCAAGAAAAGATGTTGGGAAGGTTAAGGTATAAGTATCTGGATAAGTTGATGATGTCGGATTTTAATGTTATGAAGAAAACATTCTTGAAGCATTATGCAGCTGTTAAAAAAATGGATAAGTTTGAAAGGATGAAGGTGATTGAAGAAAAGAAGAAGGAAATCACAGGTGTGCTGCAGTAGAATGATCTTTGAAGAAGATGGTGTTTTTTAATTAGGTTTATTAGTATTATAAAAACCTGATCGTTAATGAAGTTTGAAGTGTTTTGTTATGTTGGTTTTTTGGATTATGGTAAGTTTGTTAGGATTATTATGTGTTGGACGTATTCTAAGTAAAACTATGTGATGGTTTATTTAATGGTTATTATTAGAACTGTGAACCTGAATATTTCTTATATTCCATATGTAATATATGGCATATGACACTTAGCAAAGGGCACACATTGATAAGAAATATGAGTCATGTAATTTCTAAAGCTATGGGTTTGTGGTGGTATTTTGTTGAATATATGGATGTTAAAATGAAATACATGTTGTGAGTAACTTAAAGATTTTTTCCCCATCAAATTCCTATTATAGTAACATAGTTTATAAGACTTAATTTGAATTATGAATTGTGAAAAGAATGACTATAAAAGTTGGTGTTAGAATAATATAACACCTATTCACTTATTAAATTCTGAAATGAATATATAACATAATTCTAATTTGAAGTAGGTATTAAGCGGTGTTATCAACAAATACATAATTCATAATCCATATTTTTTTTAAGTGCATCTGATGATTATTTTATGTATGAAAATAAAGTTTTTTTGTTAACTAGATTTATAAATACGTATAATGTAGATGGGGATAGTTCAAATAAAAATATTAAATAGTGTGAGAATGTAAAAACGTTATTTTTATGTTATAATTTTGGAATGAATTTTGTATCAACAGCTTTATTTTGATTATTCAACAATGAATATATGAATATTTACAAGGCAAAACTAATTTTATAATTTACTATGAAAATGCATATGCATAAATGTATAATAGAATAATAACATTTTAATGAATCTATGAATAATCAAACGTTAATATTCAAATTAAAATTACTTCAACAATAAACATATACAACATTCATTACCGAATAATAACGTTAACATAGTGTTTTTACGTTATTGAATATGTATGTAGTACTTAATTATATGTCAACTTATAATCATGGAATCAATTTTGGTTTTATAAATTCTGAAATGAATAATGATACAAAAAAAACATAAGAATGTAATGTTTTGTGACTTTATTAATAAGATAACGACATTTATAATGTATTGGTTGTTGTATACGTGTAATAATGTTGTAAGGATTGGGATGGTTAAAAAAAACAAGGAATATGTGGATAAGCTTTGAAAACAATTTCAATGACAAATAATAAACAAAATTTAAAAATAAATTATAGATAGGGTACACAAATTATAAAAACATAATACTGAAAAGTGACAATTGACTGAGAATGTTAAAAGTGTTTTACCATAAAGTAAACAAACCAAACAAAACAATATGAAATAAAAAAGATCGATAATAAAATTAGTGCTTCTTTCCAGGATGTTGTTTAAATATGTTGTTCTTCTCATCTTCCTTTCGTGTAGGACAGTTCCGCTTGTCATGATCGTTACCCTTACGACAGTATTTACAACGTGATTTTTCAACTGCAATTTCTTGAGCACCTTTAATCCTTTTTTTAGTCCCAGACCCTTTGTTCCTAATTCCAGTGGGGTTTTGAATTTGAACATCTACGGATATCGACTCACCAAGTCTACGCCATCCATAAACTTGCTCTCCAATTCCTTAAGTGCTTGATAATACTCTTCCAGTCTTTTTTTGTTGGTGCTCAAAGAAGAGAGACAGTTGTCAACCGTTGAAAATATGTCAATTGCTATTTTTTGTATATTCTCATCAGAATCTGAATACCGGAAACATCTTCGTAACAATTCAGGTGGAATAATATCCTTCTGCCACCGCCTTAGAAGATACTTTGCTGGTATGAATTGGATGTTGAAGGCTTTCATTGCAGTAAAAATGTGGCGACAAAGAATCCCAAATTGTTCAAACTTCATACAACTACAAATGAATGTGTCTTCTTTCTGGTCACATTTAACCTGTATAGAAAAATAATCAGATATATATGCAAAATTTGGTGTGGAAAAAAATAAGATGATATCAGAGTTCAAAATAATACCGTATATATAGAGTCTTTTAGTAACTTATCCCAAATATCATCGCCATCATCACTGACAATATCGGAGTCAAGCCGATTCGAGATGGAATATCCATGTGGCCTAAATTCTTTTATCTGAAACTCATGAACATGGTCAACGATGTTGTGATTTAACGAAAAACATGCTGTCATTGACCTATACATTTCGTTCTGAACCTGTCTAAACACTTTACGTGTGTAGAATAGAGAAGCGTTTTCCTCTATTGGAAATGGTGTTCTCATTTTAGGGAATTTGTCTTTTCTTTTGAAGTCCAAAGAGGATTGAGTATAACGTTGCTTCTCCATGGCAGATTCAAACGAATTCATAAAGTTTACTAAAGTTGATCCATAATGAGTGTTTTGATGAAAGGCTGAGTTCTGACTCTCAGAACGAGATGTTGTTCTCATGAGACCTGACATAGGGATTCTTTTGAAAAATGCAGGAATCCATGAATGTCTCAAGTTGTACATTCTACTTAACCAAGTATTATCCTTAAGATCATATTCATCCAATAGTGCTTGCCATCCCTGTTCGAAATCTTTCTCTTCAAGCTTAGAATTCCATATCAAGGAGTTGAACAGTAACTTAAATTCCTCTTCGTTGACAATATCCAACGATACCTTACAATAAGAAAATGTGGAAGGTGTTAAAAATCAAAATCATTGAACCAGTCCAAAATGTATAAAAGGAAACGACAATAATGTTATCGAACATTAGGCAATGTAGACTATATGTTAGAGATACAAAAGTACTATCATTGATTATTTTCAGAATGTAAAATTAAAATAACAGTGATTCAAAATGAATGAAAATGTTGACCGAGAGATTATTAAATAAAAGCTTGTAACCTTCAATGGTAATTTGGAAGTGATGTGCCACATACACAACCTATGAATTGATTATGGGAAAACATTAGCTATAGCGTTTTTCATCGCGGGGTCTTCATCAGATAACACCAATATTGGTTGTTTACCAAAGGCTTTAAGTAAAGATTTCAACAACCATGTGTATGAGTCGATATCCTCTTTGCTAAGCAATCCAGCACCAAAAGTAACACACTTTTTGTGATTGTCGATTCCAGTGAAAGGAACAAATACCATGTCATACCTAAAAAGTGATAAAATTTACATTGAAATTTTTAAAAGACTTAAAATTAAAACAAAAAACATAAACATAAAAAATACATAACGTGTTGGTTCGGAATGTGGCATCAAAGGAGACAACATCACCAAATTCTTTATAATTTATCTTTGAGGTCTCGTCAGCCCAAAACATAGCGTTGAGTTGCTTATTTTCAACTCTGAAATCGAATGAAAAATTAGGAACATTTTCTGTTCTGTTTGTGATCTTATCGACTAACATCTGAGCATCAGTTCCACCTATAAAGCAATTAAGATCCCTCATCAAATTTTTAAAATCATCAACAGTGCCTCCAATAATATTGTATCCACCATTAATAGCAGTAAATAGCCTGTGAGCTTGGGTGGCACCAACGTTCTGATTAGAAAGACTGATAATGAACGATTTCTGCCATGAATTAAGCTGTCTGTGGTGTCGGGAAAACAATATGTTATCTTGACACATAAGCTCATGATTATGTTCCTCTACAAACTCATATAGCAACCATGTAGAGCTTCCTTCTATCATCCTAAATCTGATACAAGCATTGCATCCAGTCCTTCGACTATCAGTCCTTTTTATCTTACTTCTGTTTGGGTTCAATGTATCAACATGACCTGTATTAGGAAGACCTTGTCTGTTACACACGAGGTATCTCAATCTAATAATACCATGCCCATTTTTTCTATTTGTCGTTTTTCTAACATCAAAACCTACTGCAAGAGCATACTTGTAATACATATCTGTTATATCTTCATAGGACCTGTAATGGCCTTTGAGTTTTGGCTTAACTTCATCAGGTACCTTTGGAATCCAATATTGTTTTCCATTAATAATCACATGCTGATGATTAGAACTTTGATGATTATCATTAGATTGATTATCATCAAATACACCCACTGTCTCGTCTTCAATTGAAATATCACCTAAAACTTTTGCATCTAGATCAATATTATCATAAATATAACAATCTTCTACTAAAAATAAACAATGATGAATTAACATAAAATATACTATCGGAATTTAGTAAAAGGAAGTTAACATTTACGAAAAATTGTAATAAATTAAACCTGGATTCTTATCATGATATACGAAAATTTGTAAGAAATTAAACCTGGATTTTTATCAATTCCATGATGTTGGTCATCGAACAGACTATCATCAAAAGTATGATCTATTCCATCCTGCATTGAATATAAATCAACATGGTCGCCGTCTTCTGTATGAGCATCCATTTGGATCAATAAAACAATAAAATCTTTTCCAAAACGATGAATGATATGACTGGTAATACAAAATGATTAGTAGGTGAGTTTCATTTGTGGATTATGGAAAGATCAATCAACGTATTTTTAGGCTATTGGTTTTAATTACTTGATTGACTTTTGTGTAAAATTACATGCTTACCCTTAAAAATAAATTTAATTATTTTTTTAAATGATAAAAATTGATTGGCTGTAAATCGTCCTCACGTATTCACACTAATCTATGTTTTTAAATGAACCTACTTCTATATATATATATATATATATATATATATATATATATATATATATATATATATATATATAGAGAGAGAGAGAGAGAGTGAGTCATTGTTGCAAATGGATGCGATGAAAGTTTATGATAAATTAAATCACATTGTTTAAATAGCATTTTGAGTGTTTTGAAATGATAAGTAATCTCATTGTTATCAAAATGTGTAATGATTCGAAGAGAATGAAGATACATGTGTGGCAATCAAACGAAGTAGTAAAATAATAAAGAGATTAATTAAGGTTAAAGGTTTATGTCGTCAATAAGGGAATTTATATAGAAATA